ATAAATTCAAGGGCAATTGATCTTGAATTTGAATTTGATCGCGAACGCTTTGATTGTTGCCACAAATTTTATCACGAACAAGTAGCCTTGATCTTGAACGCCTTGTATTTGATTTGACTTCGATCTTGATCTTGAATACTTGAAATTTGTGTTGAAGTGCTTGAATGCTGGAACACTTGCAGTTTCCGAGAATTGTGACCTTTGATCCACGAGCTCCCTTATGTCTTCTTGTTATAACTTCTGGTGGTCTTTTCTGAAAAAATCACAACTCTTGTCACTCTTCAATTTGTTAGGGTGCATTTGTAGACATTGAAATTTTAGCGGATCAACCTAAATCGTATATTCAAGATACTACAAGACGATCTTAAAACTTTAGGAGTCTCTATTAAGGTTGCATGGAGGCTACTCTACCAAAATCCTAACTTGGAGGCTACTCTACCCTAACCCTAGGTCACTCCTATAAAAAGTGTTACATATTCTCTTAAGAAAGCATCTCGAAAATGGAGTTCATCTCAACAATTCCATAAACTCCCGGAATATGCACAAAGAGATCAAATATACGATCATGTCAAAATATGTCTTGCTCAAAATTTTAGCAACATTCAAGATCCAAATGGAGTGCTGCTACATGCTTCTTGATCATCAAATACACATCAAGAAGATGCATATCATCCTACGTTCGATAGATACGCCGCTAAGGCCCTCGAATTACGGATAATAAATCAGAGGGAAGAAGCAAATGATAAATAGAGTTGTAACCCGCAATTGATTAGTAAAAATATTTTTCTCCTATTTTGTGATTGCAACTTATTTTTCATATCTTGAAAATTTGTTGCAAACAAATTGGCACGCCCAGTGGGACCAATTCTGCCCTTCATCTCTTCCTCCTGCAAATCGAAAACTACAAGTTCCAAAGTTATCTGTTGCAATAATCGAGTATTTCAAGTCTCGTCTTCAAGTTTCGGCAAGACTGCACCCAACAAACCTTGAAGTAGGGGCAATTTATAGACATCGAAATTTTAACGGATCAGCCTAAATCCTAAATTCAAGATACTACAAGACGACTCTTGAAATTTTAGGAGTCTATTAGGGTTGCTTGGAGGCTACTCTACCAAAACCCTAACTTGGAGGCTATTCTACCCTAATCCTAGGTCAATCCTATAAAAAGCGTTACATATTCTCTTAAGAAAGCATCTCGAAAATGGTGATCATCTCAGCAATTTCATGAACTCCTGGAATATGTACAAAGAGATCAAATATATGATCATGTCAAATATGTCTTGCTCAGCGTTTTACCAACATTCAAGATCCAAATGGAGTGCTGCTACATGCTTCTTGATCATCAAATACATCAAGAAGATGCATATCATCCTACGTTCGATAGATACACCGCTAAGGCCCTCGAATTACGGATAATAAATCAGAGGAAAGAAGCAAGTGATAAATAGAGTTGTAACCCGCAATTGATTAGTTAAAGAAAAAAAAGGAAAGAAAAGAACAAAAAAAGAGATACAACAAAATGGGAAGAGGATTCGAGACTTTGATAAATGATAGGGAAGGGGATTTCAGGATTTGATCCCTCAATAGAACCTAGGGAGGAATGCATAAATAGGTTCACATAAATTCATCAGTTCAACTTCCTCAAAGGGGTAAACCCCTGAACCATTGATGGTTGCCAAAGCCATAACAAATACCTTTTGAATCTATTTAGATTTAGAAACATGAACAAACCCAACTTGAGTTACAAAGTTGCTTATTAGTGTTTTTTATATAAAATATTTTATTTATTTCCTTTAGTAATAACAAAACCACAAAAACTATCCTTTTCTATTTATTGTTTTTCCTATCCCCTTTTTCTTGGTCTCACTTGGAATGACGATGAATAATTTGTTGTATGCGACACAAATGGAATCCATTTCCGATCTCAGCTCTCATGTTGCGACTTGTTTCCGATAATAACAAACAAGTATTAATAACTAGACCATTTCTACCTCGAAAGCAACGTAAATATAGTGACACATATATGATTTGTATTTAGTATCATAATTCGATTCGTAAGCATGTCTGATGCAGTTCATTATTTTTACATTTTAACTCATTTGTGTCGACATAAGGTATAAAAGGGCAGCCTGGTGCATAATAGTAGGCACATGAAAGTTATTCCATGGTTATGTGATGAAGGATCTTAAGCAAGAAATATTTTCCTTCCAACTAATTACTGTACTATATCAAAGTACGGTTTACAGAAGGGCAGATCGGGTAGGGTGGGCATAATACCGACCGAACCGAAAAAACCGGCCTAACTGCCAATTTCGGTTTATTCCGTATAGTTTATTCTAAAATTTGGTGTTCGGTTCGGTGATTGGTTTTGGAGTTGCAGTTCGGAAAAATCGATGTTTTGAGCTGCACATATGGGTTTGCTCATCTTTAGTCATGAGCTAAGCCCTTAGCCTACCTCTGTCCTAAGCTAAGCCCACCTCCTCTTTAGCCCAATTTGCATTACCCGATAAGTCAAGAGAAATTTTCATAAAGCACTATCTTTTAGTATTAATTAGCCATCTATAGATACCATTTGCTATATTACGGATTATAGATACCTTTTATGTGGTTATAAGATGTATTTGATGTATTTAAGTTATTGTATTCATGATTACAGTAGCAAAAATAGGCGTGAATCAGGGAAGTCCAGCTAATAAGTTGTTGTATTCGAGTGTATTCGACTGTATTCATGGAGTAAAACATGGAATTACAGCTGGACAGATTATTGTATTCGACTGTATTCACGTCGTAAAATAAGGGATTACACTGTTTTTAAAACGGAAAGTAAATCAATGAACATAATAGACTCCTAATATAACTCAACAAACTCAATTATAACACACAAAATTTGTATTTTCAGTTATAAAAAAGATTCTCAACCGAAAAATATCCCAAAAACATAGCAATCTTCAGAGAAATTATATAATACATCTGAATACATAAATTATATTAATTAAAAAAAATATATGAATACATTCATGGCATATAGCGAGATAGTGAATACAATGAAATACATAAAATACAGCGGGATACATTGAAATACAATGAGAAAAAAGACAGTGAATATAATGAAATACATGGAATACAACGAGATACATTGAATTACAATGAAAAAAAAGACAATGAATACAATGAAATACATGAAAATACAGCGTGTTACGTTGAAAATACATTGAAATATATTAACAGAAAATCAAGTTGCTCAGCCCCAAAATCCGTCGTCTTTGTTCAAGAACAAACCCTAATTTCCGGCAATTAGCAATATACTCATTGTACACAACAGTCGCAGCCACACGACTGAAGCGGTGGCTACGCTTCATGTGTTCGAGAAATAAGCTCTCAAATCCGAATAGCCACCGACGATATGATTTAGGTTTCGACCGAAAATTTCCATTTGACGCTGATGAGATTCACTCATACAGTGGCACTTGAATCCGTTTTCGTCTCGACATTGCTTCTGACACATTGGCAGTACCATCATAGCTTCCATAAGCCCTTAGCTTTGATTCAATTGGCAATTGCCTTTGGGGTTAAAGAAATCGTATCAAACTAAAATCTATATCAATGGTTAGTGTTTCAGAAACAAACTAAAATCTGTATCAAAATTAGAGAAACAAAATAATGATATCAAAACCTAAGAATTAAACTTACCCTAAGCACTTGTATCGGCTCTAAAACAGTGATTTTAGAGAGAAAAGAAATGGAAAGTGATAATGGCGGAGACCTAGAAAATTTGGGTGGGAGAAGAGGTATGAATCGTGGGTTTGTGGGAGAAGAGAATAAAGTGTATGCAAAAAGAGAGAGAGAGAGAGAGAGAACGTGGTTAGAGCAGATATACGGTGATTATGTGAGAGAGAAGACTAAAAAGGAGAGAGAAAAATATTATTTAGCATATATGGTGCCTTAAATGTAGGATGTAACTATAATTAGATATTTTGCTATAAAGGATAAAAGGTATCTATAAGATGTAATATTTTAAAATAGTATTTATTTAAAATAAATAGGGTACTAAGGTTTTCTATGGGGTGTAAAATTTCCATAAGTCAATACCCATCCATAAATCTAAAGCCCAAAATGGCAAAAACCATAATCCGTCTCCATATCAGATTTACAATTAGGGTTCGTGTTCCATTAGTTCCATTCCTCCTTTCATATTTTCCTCTTTAGTTCGATTTTACTGCTGTTACACAATTTCTCTTACTTTTAGTTGATGGTGCAGCAGGTGCATAATGTGATGCACTTCTGTTACTTTTTGGAAATTCTATATTTTATAGATAATTCAATTTGTAATGTGCTCTTGGATGGAAAAAGCATAACTATTGCAATTCTTCTTTTTTCTTTGGCGGGAGAAAGCATAATTCTTGTGCCATATTCTTTCTTTATTTAATACATCGGATTTCTTCAAGCGAATATGATTCAAAAACCAAAGTGTGAAGGCAAATGAACCAAGTTATTTAGTAGTTCTAAAGTGTATGCCACTATTATTTTACTTGAAGATTACAAGTTAATACCCATATGGAAGGTTTCTTTCGTAGCGTCAATTTTGAAATTCAAACGATAGCTGACAGCAACTACGAAATGAGACACAAAACCGACCAAACAAAACCGAAAACCAACCGAACCGAAGTTTCAAATACCGAATCAACTGAATTTATATTGGTTCGGTCATCGGTACACCAAATCAATAACCGAAAACCGAACAAACCGAACCGAATTTCTTGAAAACCGCACAGCACCGACCGATGCCCACCCCTAGCGTTCGGGTTGGATATGGGAGGTTGAAAACGGGTAATTGCAAAACGAATAAAATAACCGACCCGACCCATGTTTAATACGGATAGAAAACGATATAGCTGGCGGAGATATTTTTATTATTCATGATTTCTTAAATATGATCACTTTTAAGAGAATCTATAGTCTCCCAAAATTGTGGAACACCCAAATTTGAATATTTGAAAATGTAAAAGTTAAACTCATTGATTATTCATTTTTTTAGTGGATAATATAGATTTTATCCATATTTGATCCATTTTTGAAACAGTTCATTATCCAACCCACTTTTTAGTAGATAATATAGGTGGATACCTGTTTTAATTACTCATTTTTCCGCCACTATATCAAAGTATGACAATGCAAAAGTACGGAAGAAAGGAAAGAACTACGAAAAACTATTACAAAAACACAAGGAGAAGAGGAAGATATATAGAAATTCATACACCTTAGTTAATTAACCTCCTTAACTTCATGTTTGGTTGGAAGAAGAATATCATTGACCACCTTCTCAATGTTCACATAAGATGAACCTGAATGTTCTGCAGCAGCAATTTCAGCCAATTTCTTCCATTCCATTGCCTTTTCCTTCATTTTCTTGCCTTTGTCACCAACCATCAATTCTCTCACAAGGCTTTCGACTTCATCCCTCTTCACATTATTATCAATCTCCATTCCAACATCCCATTTAGTGACAGAAAACCAACAATTTGTCTGTTGTTCAGCGAAAAATGGCCAGCATATCATGGGCACCCCACTGCTTATACTTTCGAGGGTAGAATTCCATCCACTATGAGTCAAGAATCCTCCAATTGCTGAATGGCTAAGTACTTCTTCTTGTGGGCACCAACTAGCAAGCATTCCTCTGTTCTTCGTTTCTTCCACGAATTCGGGTGGAAGAATTGCTGTATCACCTGAAACAATATCAGGTCTTATGATCCATAAAAAGGTTTGCCGGCTGTTTGCAAGTCCCCAAGCAAATTCAATAAGTTGATTAGGAGTCATAACAGTAATGCTTCCAAAGTTGACATAAACAACAGAATTTGGTTCTTTAGAATCAAGCCATTGTATACACTCTGGTTCCTCTTTCCAAAGACTAGATCCGAGACCTTTCAATTTCTCATCATCAACGTGTTTCACTAGCAAATGCAAAGGTCCTATAGAGTAGACTGGAGGAAGAAGATTTCGGAGTGATTCAAGGACTTCACTCTCTAGTGTCTCAAACGTGTTGAGGATAATTGCAGAAGCCTTTCTTGCTCTCTCTGTTTCTTGGAACACAAATTTGATCATAAATTCATCTGGATTTGTAGTTCTCAAGAAACTTGGAAGATCTCTTAAACGTACATCTTTCATAGCCGTTATCCAATCTAAAGTTGTCTCTAGGTACCCATTTGTCAAGTCACTCGCATCTACAATTTCTCCAAATGAGAATAAGTTAATCAAATAAATTACATGTACATATAAAATGGGAATGATGAGCTCAATACATCAAGAATACTAATAAAGCCTTAAAGCAAGACAACAGTGAATTCAGGATCTAGAGTCAGCAGATTCATAATAAATGTAATCTTGTGATATTTATACTTTTTTTTTAATTTTTTTTTTTTTTTTGTACATGCTCTTCAAGCAAAAAAGAATAGGTCCAGTTGAACCGATTGAACTACTCTAGTCCGAAAAGAAGTGTATTTGTACCTTTCAGTGGAGCATATCCTTTTTCAAAAACCTTGTAGTAATGCAAGTAACCTAAGAAACCACAAGCACTAATTGTCCAGAGCTGAACATCAGGGACACCCAATTCTTGTGCAGCAGCTAGGGTGAAGCTCATGCTACCATCAGAAACGATGCACGAGACGGGTGGCACGTTGGATGTGTTAGTATCATTTAGCTTGGCAAGAAGATCGGTAAAGGGACCTAAGCAAGTAGTGGTTGTAGATTCACACAAAGAAGGTATGTCTTGTGTCGCATCGGAATCACATGGTGGAAGTCCATCAGGAATGGTCTCAAAACGGAAAGAAGATATGCCCTTGAGGGAATCAGGGCCATGAGTCTTAAGAAGACGTCTATGGTTAAATTCAGTATTGACAAAAGTGATGTGAAAGCCTTTGTGATGAAGGATTTTAGCTAGCTTTAACATGGGGTTAATATGGCCTTGGGCAGGGTACGGTATGCAAACTGCATGAGGTTTTTTTAATTCAGCAATGATGGAACCCATTCTTTCTCTAGATCTCTCGAGCGGAAATGAAAGATTAATTTGTACTATGATTTTTGGCAAGAAGTAGTGAAGAAAATGCCCATATATTTATAGATGGAAAAAGGAAGTCAAAAAAAGTCAAGAAAGTGGCAAAAAGAATCAAGTCTGGTAAGGGTAATATGGTTGGTCAAGAAATTGAGAAAAAGGTTATAAGATATACGAGTTCATAAATCGTGTGTATCTCGATCAAGGAAATATGGTCGTTTTACAGTGTCAACGAGTTATTTGTTATTGCATGAATAATGAATACTAATATTGATGACCGCTAAATCTATTACTTAAAAAAAAAGTGATTTTTACGCAAATAGACGGCGACATTTATTGTTTACTTTTTTTTAGGCATATACATAGATTATATATAATTATACATATATAATACATAAATTATGCATATATTATATCGTAACCGGCTATTTTTAATTTAAGTGGTTGGTGAGCGACTATTTAAGTTAAGTCTTCTAAAAACAAAAAGGAATTTTTACACCCTATAGAAAAGCTTAGTACCCTATTTATTTTAAAATATTACATCCTATAGATACCTTTTATACTTTATAGCAAAATATCTAATTATAGTTACATCCTACATTTAAGGCACCATATATGCTAAATAATATTTTTCTCTCTCCTTTTTAGTCTTTTCTCTCACATAATCACCGTAAATCTTACCAACCACGTTCTCTCTCTCTCTCTTTTTGCATACATTTTACTCTCTTCTCCCACAAACCCACAATTCAGACTTCTTCTCCCACACAAATTCCCTAGGTTTCCCCCACTATCACTCCCCAGTTATTTTCTCTCTAAAATCATGGTTTTATTCCTGATACAATTTCTTGGGGTAAGTATTAAGCTTCTTAGATTTTGATACAATTATTTAGTTTTTCCGATTTTGATACAGATTTTTCTTTGCTTCTTAAACAATAACCATTGTTATTGTTTACTCATCAGAAAGTGCGCTTTCGATTTTCTCTCCAATGTCGGATTCAATGTCACACAAGATGGTAACAAGATGGGCCCTCTTTCTGGTTGGAAATAGCTCAAGCGGAGTCGGAATTTGCAGATGTATCAGCAACTACAGCTTCAGAGAGAAGAACTAAATTTCTCAATAACAAATCAAAAGAAGTCCCAGTTGAGAAATCTTCAAAACAAACAAAAAGTCCAGTGGCGAAAAAGAGGAAAAAAACTTTGAATGATTCTTCATGTGTCAAGGTTAAGGAAGTTGATGCAAAAACAACATCGGATACACGGCACGAAAAAGTAATTGTTATTGTATCAATATTCATCCAAAGTTGCTGATGTGCTTTAGCGGTACATTGATGTGTTCATAATTATTCATGTGATTTTATATGTATGATGATTTATTCATATGTATTTAGTTGTATTCATAAGCATTAAAACAATCCAGAACTCATTTGCACATTTACAATATCATTAACTGAGTTGTGCTTACTTGAATATTATATGTTGTATTTAAATGTATTTAGATGTATTCTAATTTACATCTACTGTATTTCCGTACTTATTAAAGTTTCCCTTGCTTGTTATATGCATATATTCACTGTTTTGTACTAAATGGTATTAATATGTATTTCAATATTTAACTGTATCTTGTTATATTTATATGTATTCATAACACTTAATGAGTTTATATATTGATGATGAATATGAAACCTTTTTAAAATTCTTGTTTGTATGCAGGAAATTAAACTATTTGTGAAACACCCGCCAAGATTATCACCGCATCTTTGTTCATATACAAACAGAATTCAAGTATCCAATCTCAAAGAAAAGCTTACTCCAGAACAATATAAACTATTAAGTTCTACTTTCAGGGATTGTGGGGTGCATGTCGCGGCATACGCAGAGTTTCTTAGCATAGTTGGGCTGGTTCCACAAGTAAAATTTGATGCCAATTTACTCCGTCAAAGATATGGTGCACTCCTTTGGGACTATGCTATGCGGAAGATAGACGCTGATGCCGTAAGAGAGAGCGAAGCACCTTCAAAGATTCTTAGGCACATCACCGATTCTGATACATCGGTGAAGATAATGTTAGAGTAGTCTTAGGTGAATGTAGTTTTCGATGGGAGTTTTTGTGAATACTGTTTTTCATGGACAGTGTGTTGGTAAAGATGGTGTTAGTTTAGCAAAAAAAATTTAATTTAGTGATCGTATCAACAATGTTTATATATTATCATTTCAAGTATCCAATCGATGTATTGTCTGTTTTTGTGCTTCTGAATTAATCTGTCCTTCAACCTCTTGGGTTTTGGTATGTTTATATCAGTTTGTATTAGTATGTATGCAACATGTTGTATTGATATGTATTCAACTTATTGTATCAGTCAGTATTCAGCATGATATATTTATCTATATTCATTAAGTTGTATTTATATGTATTCACCAGGTTATGTTCACATATTTTCAGCAGGTGCTTTTAGACATTCATATTTATATGATATATTGCATTGATATGTATTCAGCTGTATTTGGATATGGCTTTTATATATAACTGATTGTAATAACAGATTATCATAATTTGTATTCAAGTGTATTTGAATACATGTATTTAACATTCATAAATCATATTAACTCTCTCATATACTATATGTATTCCAAAAAGAATCATCAGTTCAATGTATTCAATGATTGTATTCATCTATATTCATATATAATGAAGATACAATGGTCGTATTTTAATTATGTATTCAGATTTAATACACCAACTAAGTATATCCAAAATATATTCGAAATGACACCGGAATCTATAACAAATTGTTTTTCACTAATACAAGTCAGATTGTGAACTAATTTCAACGTGGAGCATTTCTACAAGTACGCTTATTATGTCCTTCTTGCCCACATATGCTACACGAATGTTGATTTTTCTTCTGCAGCAATTCAATGAAGGGCTTATCACGCTTCTTCTTTGGTCTTCCAGGAGGTCTTTTCCATTTGGGTGGTAATACAACTTCATCTGCTACATGTGCTGGTATATTCCATTCTTTCCGGTCCGACAAAGGATACACGGGCACCTCATATGTCATTACAACAGACTTTGGTTTGTAATAATCATAGCAATAATCTTCTGGCAATAGAAACTTGCTCTTCAGGACAGCCCAAGCGTGTGGGCACGGTAATTCGTCGACTTGGAACCGCCCACAACTGCATTTTTTCTCTAAAAGGCATACTGTGTAATGTCTTCCTTCATCGTTCACCGTATGCAAATATTCAGTCGATGGCACTACCTACATTTAAAAAAATAAATCATACATATATATAAGAATAGACGTATTAAATATGATTTTCATATATAGTATTATAATTTTATTTAGTTCGAAGAATCATAATATATTTTGTATTAAAATACAACTATAGTAGATACAACTATATTTGTACATACAGAATTCAAAGACATACATGTATATACATGTAAATACATTGAATATATTAGAATACATACTACATGAATGCTGGCAGAATATTAGAGTAGTCTTGACTGAATATAGGATACAACTTCCATTGCTACCTTGAAATATATACAGTTAAATACCTTGTACCATGGATACATATAGGAAACAGATACATAAATAAAAGGCAACTTACAATCATTCGTGTAAACATTGCCTCATTCAAGGTAAGCATCTCCTGGTATTTTTTCCCAAGCGTTGTGTATGTCTGAAGAGCTTCTTGAACGTATGCCATATGCAAAATCGAATTTGAACGTATTTCTGTATACAATTGTATCAATCTCAATTTTTCTTGGTTGGAAATTGATTTCTACGAACTGTAACAAAAGAACATGGAAAGAAAGAAGGGAGATTTGAAAATCGACAGAATCCTCTGTTTTTGGATACTTTCGGATGGAAAATCGTTGATGGAGGGGGAAATACAGATTATGGGTGCTATAATTGTGTTAGTTGAGTTATATTAGGAGACTATTTGCTAGATTGATTTTCTTTCCGTTTTTAATCAGTTGAAAGGTCCCTTTTTTAAGGGATATACGTTACTGTATTCAATGATTCAACTCTTGAATACAGTTGAATACAACATCGTATTAACAGGTTTTCCATGATTCACGCCGCTTTTTTCTAAAGTATTCAAGAATACAGTAACCTAAATACATCAAATACATCTTAAAACATCTAAAAACGTATCTACAGGCTGTAATATAGCAAATGGTATCTATAGAGAGCTAATTACCACTAAAAGATATCTATTTATGAAAATTTCTCAAAAAAAAAAAAAATTAAACTTCAAGAAGCTGGATGGTGATGTGCACCGATTATAGCGAACTCTAACCACGAGATCGTATGAGCTGTTATGTGTGATTGTGTGTGTGAAATAGCATTATTCCATGTGAATTGTCAGACAAAATGGTAGGTCTTGACTCTTGAATGTATAGGCAGCGAATCCAGTGGCCATACTATTAATGAAGATGTACTTAGAATCGTTAGGCACCGCACAAGAGTCGCTCATGGTCATGTAGTTGCGAAGAAAACGCAGGGGATAAAAGTCGCTGATAATCCATTGCTTTTTACTAGGGGTGTCAATAGATATTTAAAAATCGACTAAATCGATCGAACAGTATCGCATCGAATCGATTTTTAGGTTTCTTTTAATAAATCCTAGGTTTTTATATAAATCTATATTCGTACCGATAATTAGAGTAGTTTTTTTTTATTTATTAAAATAAATCAAAAAAATACCGAAATACCGAATAAATTTACATAGAAAAAATATATTTATATATTAAAGTTTAAAAGTAATAAAGCATTAAATTTTTATTTGGGCCTTGGAATTATGAAAACGGTTACAAGCCAACAAGTAATTAAACTCAAAATCCTAATTCCCAAACTTATTATACAACTTTTATTGAACCTAAATTATTTCCTGCATATTCACTAGCAAGACACAACGTATTCTAGCGATTATGAGTAGTAAACTTGTTTCCTTTCGTATGATTTACATTTATATTTTTAGATATTTAATCTTCTATAGACTTTATTCTTGAGTCCCAACTTG